TACAGTATCCTGCAACACCTATGTTAACATAATATAGTATCCTGCCACACCTATGTTTACATATTACAGTATCCTGCCCACCTATGTTTACGTATCACAGTATACTGCCACCCTATGTTAACATATTATAATAGCCTTCCCCCTTATGTTAACATATTATAGTAAACTGCCACACCTTTGTTTACATATTACATTATTCTGCCCACCTATGTTTACATATCACAGTATACTGCCAACCTATGTTAACATATTGCAGTATCCTGCCACACCTTTGATTACATATTACAGTATCCTGCCACACCCTTTGCACTCGTTAACATATTACAGTATCCTGTGACACCTATGTTAACATATTACAGTGTCCTGCCACACCTATGTTAACATATTACAGTATCCTGCCACACCCTTTGCACTCGTTAACATATTACAGTATCCTGTGACACCTATGTTACCATATTACAGTGTCCTGCCACACCTATGTTAACATATTACAGAATCCTGCCACACCATTTACTCACATTATCATATTACAGTATCCTGCCACACCCTTTGCACACGTTAACATATTACAATACCCTGCCACACCTATGTTAACATATTATAGTATCCTGCCACCCCTATGTTAACATATTACAGTATCCTGCCACACCTATGTTACCATATTACAGTATCCTGCCACACCTTTGTTTACATATTACAGTATACTGCCACACCTATGTTAACATATTACAGTATCCTCCCACACCTTTGTTTACATATCACAGTATCCTGCCCCCCTATGTTTACATATTACAGTATCCTGCCACACTAATGTTAACATATTACAGTATCCTGCCACACCCATTGCACACGTTAACATATTACAATATCCTGCCACACCTATGTTAACATATTATAGTATCCTGCCACACCTATGTTAACATATTACAGTATCATGCCACACCTATGTTTACATATTATAGTATCCTGCCACACCTATGTTAACATATTACAGTATCCTGCCACACCTATGTTTACATATTACAGTACCCTGCCACACCTATGTTAACATATTATAGTATCCTGCCACACCTATGTTTACATATTACAGTACCCTGCCACACCTGTTTACATATTACAGTATCCTGCCACACATATGTTAACATATAATAGTATCCTTCCCACCTATGTTTACATATTACAGTATCCTGCCACACCTATTTTTACATATTACAGTATCCTGCCACACCTATGTTTACATATTACAGTACCCTGCCACACCTGTTTACATATTACAGTATCCTGCCACACATATGTTAACATATTATAGTATCCTGCCACACCTATGTTTACATTTTACAGTATCATGTCACACCTATGTTAACATATTACAGTATCCTGACACACCTATGTTAACATATTACAGTATCTTGCCACACCTATGTTTACATATTACAGTATCCTGTCCACCTATGTTTACATTTTACAGTATCCTGCCACACCTATGTTTACATATTACAGTATCCTGTCCACCTATGTTTACATTTTACAGTATCCTGCCACACCTATGTTAACATATTATAATATCCTGCCCACTTATGTTTACATATTACAGCATCCTGCCACACCCTTTGCACACGTTAACATATAACAGTATCCTGCCACACCCTTTGCACACGTTAACATATTACAGTAGCCTGCCACACCCTTTACACACGTTAACATATTACAGTATCCTGCCACATCCTGTGCACACGTTAACATAGTACAGTAGCCTGCCACACCCTTTGCACACGTTAACATATTACAGTAGCCTGCCACACCCTTTACACACGTTAACATATTACAGTATCCTGCCACATCCTTTGCACACGTTAACATAGTACAGTATCCTGCCACACCCTTTGCACACGTTGACATACATGTATTACAATATCCTGCCACACCCTTTGCACACGTTAACATATTACAGTATCCTGCCGCACCCTTTGCACACGTTTACATAATACAGTATCCTGCCACACCTATGAAAGGCGTATGATATTCAATGGCCAAACATTAAGTATCCGCCTGTATTGTAGTTTATACCTGAAATTGGCGAAGATACATTATTTATAGTAATTATACATCTGGATACTCTCGACGTTTCATTCCTTATACTTACCTGGTGCTGATACCAGTGTCAGCATGCATTCATGATAAAGAATTTGGTTGACTATTTATCATCCTCTATCCCAATATAAACTTAAGGGCCCATACATGAATAATATGACAGTCCAATAATCTATATCAGATACATCTGACACATATTGTTAAAACGTCATTAACATTATATAGCATAATACGAGTCTATCCAACTAAATCAATTAAGATACTTAATATTTTGATACTGTTAACGAAATATCCAATAGATTTTCAGAATTTTAGCATCATTACTTTAACACCAAGGACGCTTAGCTGATTTTAATGCGTTTTCCTGGGACGATTTTAGTGACTTAGTTTAAGGTAAGAATGATTTGAGGGACGTAGTAACGAATTAAGAACTGTTTTAATGGTTGGATATTTCGTTACAATTTCAAAATATTGACAAACTAAATTAAATGGGATAAACTGTTCAGGGGAATAAGGGCACAGTCAACGTGGAGTAAGTACACAAGGGGATAGAAGAATAGGCGCATAGGGGAAGGTGGAATCCACCAGGGTATTGGTTATAGGGGGATATTGGGACAGGAGTATGCGGGCTTAAAGATATGTTTGCAAATCACAAAAAGTTTTAAATTTTAAGATATATTTCCTTATATTTCATGAAAGAATCTTAGTACAGTATACATTTGATTCATAAATAAAAAGGAGTATTATAAAAAATATACAAAAATAGAAACATGCATTAGTTAAAACATTTTTATATCAAGTTTAAATCATTAAACCACAAGATAAAAATACAAAACTAAGCGTATTACATATTATGACCATACAAAAACTGAAAATATTGAATTACACAAATCATGCGTAACACATATTATAAAAATACAATAATTAAAAATATAATATTATCTATATTTATATATATGATGTGTATGATATCTTCAAAGTACGAGTAATTAGTATGTCTCTGTAAAAGACGACTACTTGCTGGATCATTAACAAATGCAGACCTCCCTTAAGAAATTAAATGAATAATACAAAAGTAAAAAGGCCTTTATTCAACTTCTCAATTCTGCATAAAACAACTGGGGAATTTCATGTTACTATATAACAAAAATGCATACAATCAAATTTCTGTCATATGATTTCAACGATCGTGATCTCATTATTATATTTTACAAATCCTTCAACATAGAACGGAATATAAAATACATGAAAAAATACTATTCAAATGTACAAAAACTAATTTTGTATCTTTCCTTTTTCGCGGATACTATCTGGAAAATCATGACTTTTTAATAGGTACTGTGTAGCAAATCTGCTGTAACGGGTAAATTGTCAAATAATGTTTCTTCTAATGATTTGATACCTTGGTAAAGTAGTTTCACAAGAGTGAAATTGAATTCAACAGGTTTGTCATAAAATTTAAAATTTCGATAACGAGCATCGTTATAATGAAGGAGGATGTCAAGGCACAAGGCCTATTTAAACAAAACACCAACTTTATCGTTTAGATGCATTATATATCCATTTAATTGAACAACGAATGAAGGGCAAGTACCTTGTATGTACAATCACACACACATATTGACACCTTCACAAACACAGATTGACACCTTCACAAACTTAGATATTGACACCTTCACAAACACAGATTGACGCCTTCACAAACACACACACACAGATTGACACCTTCACAAAGACACACACAGATTGACACCTTCACAAAGACACACACATATTGACACCTTCACAAAGACAGAGATTGACACCTACACGAATACACACAGAGATTGACACTTTCACAAACACATATATTGACACTTTCACAAACACATATATTGACACTTTCACAAACAAACAGACACATTGACACCTACACAAACAGAGATAAACACCAACACAAACATAAACAGAGATTGACACCTACACAAACACAAACACATACAGTGAGTGACACCTACACAAACACAAACAGAGATTGACACCTTCACAAACACAAACAGCGATTGACACCTTCACAAACACAAACAGAGATTGACAACTACACAAACAGAGATTGGCACCTACACAAACACAAACAGAGATTAACACCAACACAAACACAAACAGAGATTTACAACAACACAAACATAAACAGAGATTGACACCTACACAAACACAAACAGTGAGTGACACCTTCACAAACACAAACAGAGATTGACACCTTCACAAACACAAACAGAGATTGACACCTTTACAAACACAAACAGAGATTGACACCTACACAAACACAAACAGAGATTGACACCTTCACAAACACAAACAGAGATTAACACCAACACAAACACCAACAGAGATTGACACCTACACAAACACAAGCAGAGATTGACACCTTCACAAATACAAACAGAGATTGACACCTAAATAAACACAAACAGGGATTGACACCTACACAAACACAAACAGAGATTAACACCAACACAAACACGAACAGAGATTGACACCTACATAAACACAAGCGGAGATTAACACATTAACAAATACAAAGATTAACACCTACACACACATGTTGACACCTACACAAACACAAACACAAACACACACACACACAAATTGACACCTACAAACACACACAGACACCCTTTCTTGTCAGATAATTATTATACTAACTCCGCTGCATGTCATTCACTTAATAACAATTATGCTGAACGTAACGAAAAATACAGTTAATTTGTATATTGAATTCATGTACAATATTAATGATGATTAAAAAGGCACATGTTCTATATAAATGCATTTTATATTTAAGAATATTGACAAGTTGTACAACTTATTCATATCCATATATAATTATAGATATATTTTAAATAAAATATTATCTAAATTCTGCTTCAGTTCATTCAATATATCATAAATGTTATATATAAAAACATATTCGATATTGTACATAAATATACAAATCCTTCACATCTTTTGCAGACATAAGCTATTAACAAATAATTTATTATATATATCCATACAACAATTGTTTTCAATGCACGATATAGAGTAAAATATAAATTGCATTCAGTATTCTTGTTTGATTGACAAAAATATGAAACTATGAGCAAACCAGTCATGTTTGTCTCTTTTACCACCAACAACGGACAATGCGTCCTATTAGATACGTGGAATACGCTGTTAAATTTCCCTCGGCATTGAACACCGTGAACTTTTAGGCGTTTATCATTCCTATGTTTCCATATCCTTTTTGAGTATTTATATTCGCGATTGTTTTTATTTGCGTGGATTTTATATTAATAAAGAAACAAAAAGTATGTCACAGTCCTTGTTTAATACGTGTCACAAATCATAAGATATTAAGTTCATGGTCGACACACGTGTCATGTTAATAAATTATAATAATCTCACGAACAGTGATTCACTCTAAATCTAACGAAAATGCACTTAACATATTTAACAATACACAGGTATGACAAATACTGTGTACAGTAAGGTTAACAACTACTGACAAAATAAGGCGATATACCAACAGACACTAACATTAAATCAACACCAACATTTCCGCGAATATCTATTTATAGATTACAAAGATTATAGTTATACAGAATATATAGAATTCACAACTAGTTTCCACAACGCAATCAGTCATACCACGAACCTTTCCCCACAAGCGAAAAAAAGTCTACTTTTACAATTAGCATGACGACCCTATCGTGTGCTCGAGTAGGATTCACACCCTCTGACAAGGCGCATGGTTCAACAAAAAACCTGTATGTCCGGGAGGGGCTGGCCCTAAACAACAAAGGGGATATACCACCAGATAGGTATTGAATATTAATCTTATATGATGAATGATAAAGACAGGATGAAAGCATATATATAATACTGTGATTTATCACACTTTGATTACTACAAACTATCTCTAGAAACTAATGATTTTCTAAAGTAAAAAACTTGAAATATTTGAACATGTTTTATGTTATTTAAGTACCAAAGAATTATGATCTAACGAGAGATAATATACGTAGTCCTCTTCCAAATAAAATACATGTGTCTTCTCAAAGTTGAAACTATACTTGTTTTGGTTGGAGGAAATGGAGGCTGCTTCATCATAATGTTCCCTGACTTATCAGACGCAGCATTTGACAAGAAACTATTCAATATAAACAGTTTTGAGTCACTTATACTACGTTTCCAGGATTACACAGTTCAGTACAGTGGAAATTGGTTAAAAACTCTCCCGTTGTCCTCGTAGAAATTCAGTAGACTTTCCCAAGTCTTATCACATCGAAGCAAATGTTTGTTCCCTGTCAACAGAAACCGTAAAACAATGACATTTTACAGATACGAGTTAATTCATGAAATTGAATCAAAATGAATATACATATAAACAACGAAAACAACACAGGAGAAAGAACCGTATATCAATGTCGTCCGAAAACACAACTGGAACTGAGAAAATCGAATCCGTAAACCAAATCCTATTAACCCAAGCAAAACCTAGAAAGCATTTCCTTCACCACGCATAGCACTAAATAGGATGTAGCCAGTTAAACTGGGGACGGTATTGAGAAAAGTATTGAGTAACTAACGACCTTTTTCATCGTGGAAAAGAAACTGAAATTCCGTATTTGGATATAGCAGGTCGTGCTGACTACCATTTACAATTCTTCAACATAATGTGTTCAATCAAAGTTCTTTCATGAAGAAAGCCATGCCTTATCTTTCCTAGTTCTATAATAGGGCGTATCTTTCAGAAGATCATGCTACTCAGGCCCTTGAAGGAAGCGAAGTTTTAGTGGCATTTGAAATCAATAAGCAGGTTACGAATAAGGAGATCATGAAAAATATTTTGGCAAGTTCGTTATATATAATTTAATTAAATTTCCAGTTGTAAAACGTGTCATACACTGTTTACCTTGATCTGCACATTTTTATAACTGCAAGACAATTCAAACGTCTTCATATTGCATAATAAAATTATATCGTACTATAATTTACACATAAAGTGTATATGTCTGTTTTGAAATAAACAGTAGTAAGTCGTTAGATAAATCCACTAATGCAATCCAAAAATCATTATTGCCAATTTAATAAATATATTCAAATCAATTCATATCAAATCTATGATTTGTTTCGTATGTAACAAAATCAAATACATACAAAACGATCTTTATATGCATATCATAATTTCTGCCAAAATATGATTATCCAATTTCAAGCTTAAACAAATCAACAAAACAGTAACGAAACCGATGATAAGAAATAGCTCTTTGTTTTTCCTTCCCAATCAAACGTTTTTACTTACTGTTATCCGTAGACTATTGTTATTTCATATCTGTTATCATCTTTTGTATACATTCTCTATATTTTCTAATAGTACATGTATATAACAGTACCTACCGATAATGAATAGTCCTTTCTTAGCTCTCGTTAGAGCAACGTTGATTTGGTGGTTGTCTGTGATAAATCCCAGATGCCGTAGCTTCCATCCTAGAGCGGGACGATGCTCAATCAGTGGCCTAGGCATGGAACGAACGGTACTGAGGATAACGTAGTCGCTCTCTCCTCCTAACCAATGAAATCATCCAAAAACATTCATTATTATCAATTGACGTCCATAACCGAAAATAGAAATCATGTGAGAAACAATAAGAATCAAACGCAAAACTACTCCATTTAGTGGTTTAATTATTTAGCAGTACAGTTGTTTGTTTAGACCAACCTTGACTGGCCACAACGGTGTCCACCCTGACGTCAGGGTATGCTATTTCCTCTTCAGTTATCTTCCCGTGTATGACCTGTCTCTTGGTTTTTATTTCAGTTATCTTCCTGTGTATGAGCTGTCTCTGGGCGTTGTATTGTGACAAAATACGTATATCTGCCACGTTCAGTTTTTCACTTTTTACGAGATGTTCAAAGATCTTCACCTGAATTGAAAAAAAAAAACATATAATCTTTATATCTTGATCGGGTTGTTCAAAATCGTATTACATGTGCTAAACGAGTGGTTATGGATATTTTTTGATGTGCCTTTATCATGAAGTAATTGAAAATTTACGTTTTGTTTTGCTTTATCAATATCAGTTTTGAATTTTATATTAAATATACCGACTTAAAATGTTTTCGTTATGTGTAGTTAAGTTAATTAGGTTTGAGAAACGGTGACCTGGTCTGAAGAACTATTCAGATGTCAAAACATGATTTATGTACCAAAGATAAGATAAGTATCATATTTGAACATGTATTACATGTGCGCAACAAACTCGAGCTATCCTCTTTATCAGAAAAAGACAAATGTGTAATTGTTTTCAATAAACAAGCCTACCCACATTTGTTATTCATATGTATATTTTCTGCAACAACATGATCACTTTACTTTCCTAACAGTAGGCAACGCAATATTAGTGGACGGGAAATACGCTCTCTGCAACCCTAGAACATGTCATGAAAAAATCGAAGGCACGTAGCTAGCTATTTGATTGGTTTCAGGTGAAAAACCCTGAAAAATAACTAGGCTGATACCTGTCTGAAGACACAAAAGAGCTACACCCGATTTCAAGGTTAGTCAATTTTACCGTATCGCTTGATATACACCAAAGGATTAAACTAGTCATTTGTATCATTGACTAGGGTTGCGCGCACAAGCCTTCAATTTTGGCACGACATAGTCTAGAGATGAAGAGAACATAAGAGAGCGTTACCCATAAAGTTCGAGGATGAGGAAGAATATTGAATGCATCAATATAGTAAGATTCACCGTGTATTCACTAGCCTGGACATGGTAGATATGAGTTTACTTACCTTGTATTCCCAGTGTTCATAACATAATATCTACGGTATATAGAACAACCAGCCTATATAACACGAATCTCTTTAGCTGAGAACAGGAGCTGGAACTGTGTGAGTAGTCTATTTTATGTTTATATGTGTTTATAAGATACAGTATTCCAATTCAAAACTACAGTGGTTATTGTCGAGCCTGAAGTATACCGTTCGCATTATCCCCATCCTATAATGGCTACCAACGAAAATATAAAAACAATTAAGGAGTTTCCACCCTTCGTAATACACATGTTTTTCTTTTCGTATTTTCGTGTCGTCATTTCCGTATTGCGTATCGGGCATTCCAATACCGTGGTGTAAATTATAGTAACACCGGGTAAACAATAGTACACGTGCGTGACGATGATATGTCAACACCCGATATCGAGACTTAACTTGGAAATGTGTAATCTGATACAAAGACATTCATTAACTCACGGGCAAACACTGACATATGATCAGACGACTTCCAAGAAGGTCGTATATGAGGCGCATGGAATGCAGACTGATGTGTTTTGTTTACCGACCTCACCTGTACGTATCACGTGCTAACAGTAGTTCACAAGCTCTTGGTCGCTACGACTTTTGTTGTCGAGCGAGTTACGCTCTGTCAGATAAATCGGTTCACAAATGCAATTACAATAACTCTGTTAAAAAGTGGTTTGTAAAATATCAAGATCCCTATAAAATGCAAGTGCATGTGCGTGCACGTAATAACGGCATACCATGCGATAGCCTATGGTTACATATGTACCCGACATGTTAATATACCATGCGTAAGCAGGCTATGGAATGATGTCCAAAGTGTACATGATTGAGATTAATTTTGTTCCATAAAAGAACAGTAAATTGACAATTAAATCTTGTAATTTAAATTACTTCCGTCGTTTTTTGGTATAGTAAGGAAAATAAGTGTCATTGTATAAATTCTATCCCTCTGCAAAAAGTTCCGGTTTTTTTTCAAGGTAGACAACTCTCATCAGGATCAAAATTATTGTAAAATGTAAAATAAATTAATTATAAAGACTTTGTGTGCATTTGGTTCAATTTTTCAGTCTTTTTGTATGAAACTATGTGTCCTGATTACTTTTAGCTTGTATTTAGTAACTGTTATCCATACAATTTCAATAAAAAAATGCTTTTTGTAACATGTTGTAGATATTTTATGATAAATAACATATTTGTTGGGTTGATTAGCAATGTTTCTTTTCATTATTTTATTGTTATTATGGTTCTGAACAATGCCACACGCTCAAAAAATGTAAAAGTGTTGAATTTGACAAAAATTCAATATTTCGGTATTTTTTACAAAAAAAATCCCCAGTTTATCGGAATGCTTAGATTTTCATAAAATCATCTCTACATAGTGATGTAACCATTATGTGAAACTTTCATTGAATTCTGCTGGCTAATTGCGAAAGGGTGGAGCCTCCTTAAGAATGTAATTGAAGCAGCATGACGCACTAATGTCAATATACCAGGTACGTTGTTTCAAATGTCAATATAACAGGTACGTTGTTTCAAAGGTTAATATAACAGGTACGTTGTTTCAAAGTTTCATTTAAATATCCATTTTATACTGACGTAAACAGTGCCCAAATCTCCCTAAAGAAATATCGAAATAACAAGACGGTCACGATGCAAAGTGCTATTGTAATCGATGTAGTACTAGTGCTACTACGGACAAACATGTGTCCACAGAAAGACCTATAATAGTCTTTTATATAAAGCCTTTAACCAATAATGCACAGGTCATATAAGAATGTTTTTCGATTTTAGACTGGACAAGGTTCTTAACTCGGTACAAAACTGTGTCTGCAGACGGATGGACAGATAGAACCATTCAAGTACATTCATTAAGTTGTTTCGGGATTTTATTAATTCTTCAATAAATTTGTCAGACACAGATTTTGATATCAATTTGATATAAAAAAAAGTTGCTGAATAGTTCAAACCACATGATCAAACTTACGGTTTGTTTAGCTTCATCTTGGTTGCTCTTTGATTTTTCGTTTCCTTCTTCTGTTGAAACTTCTAACGCGACCTCTTTCCCTTCAACATGTACGAAAGCGATCGGAATATGGTTCTTTGGACTATTGTTCTTCCAGATTTTCAATGGACGATTCACTAGCCAACCAGCCGTGTACGTTTGGTCTGTCGTTAGCTTGTCTTCGTAAAATTCTTTAGATGGGAAGGAACAAATCCATGGATTCTATAATAAGCAAACAAATTATGAAATTATATTTAGAATTTAAAAACAAATAATATATAGTAAAATTTCTAGGACAGATTGCTGATGTTCTTTATAACTGAAAATGGTCATCTCTTTTTCGCTCTTAAACAATACGGCAATTGCAAAGTAATTCGACCTTACCAGTGAGTAACATCTAAAACTAGTGGGCAAAACTAGTCAAGTAAAGTTAGGAGGCAGAGCAAAATATTGCCATCAAGTTCTAATTGTAACAGCGGCCGTTACAAAAGTCAAAACAGCTACCCCAACAGTCGAAAATGAGGCTAATATAAGTCACAGTACTCTTTTTAACGGCGTATTACCTATATATAAAGTTATCGAAATTGGCCAATGTCTTAATTTTGACCAAACAGATGCCGTGAAAGCCATCTCGATGCACAGTAGCAAATTTTACTCATCTACACATGCTGATATAAAGTTTCCTTGGAATCTGCTGTGTAGTTCCAGAGAAAACAGTGGGTCATCTTCTGACCAATCAGACGCCACAGCGGTAATCATTGATGTGCAACAGCAATTAAAAATCCAGATGAAACAGTATAGAAAGAATGACGGACAGTACAACCTTTTTGGATAATGCTATAGGTCAAGCCAAAGGTCACATTGACCTACTTTCTGTACATGATACTCAGCCATCGTAAGAGTTACCTGCATACCACACTTGGTTGCTTCACGTGGAATCGTATATAAGATATGTCTAAGGCAAATTGTTTTCAAAGGCTAAAGTCTAAGGTCATAACATAGGTCAAGTCACTGTGATTCTTTTTTGTACTTGACACTCTGCCATCTCAACATGTACATGCAGATCAAATCCGGTTGCTGCATGTAAAAACGTATAGAAGATATGCCCCGGACCAACTTTTAGGACGGACGGATGAAAAGCCAACCCACGGCCCTACGTCCCCCTTAACTCCACCCGGACTTAAAAATCAGCTCCTCCTTTCCGACCCCCGTCCCCTTTAAATATGGAACTATTGTCTTAAAGGCAAGGTTATGAATGCTCATAAATCATGAAAAGAAATCATGTCTTGTACAAATGTTTTGTCCGAAAATATTACAGATTCTACTAAAATACGGATCTATGTATTACCATGCGGTACTGTTGCTTCAGCATCGTTAGGTGTTTTGTTGTACGACCGGCATACTTCTCAAATAAAGAGTTGACAAGTCCAAGTTCCTTTGCAGCCCTTGACTGTAAAATTGGTTGAAGCTGCTTGTGGTCTCCTATCAGCACGACCTGCGTCGCTCTGGTAGCTATTATTGGTACCATCGTCTCAGGCTCGGTACACATTCCACTTTCGTCTATGATACACTGATATATTTTGCCCTTGGTTGCTTTTAACAGCTTCGGGTTGGCAGCCATGGCAGTTGTGCAAAAAATGACGTCACAACTTTGCAAAACTTCTTGTGTTGCTTCGCTCACTATCTTGAAATACGACTGCACATCATCAAAAGTCACGTCGTATTTTCGACCCTGGAACTTTTCGTCAAACTGATTTATTTCATCAGCATATGTTTTGCCTTCTCCCCGTATTAAATGGTGAACGACAACATCGTTCCTCGTCAGGTAAGGATCCGGTTTAGCATTTCTCAGAGACCGTCGTGCGGATTCTATTCGACCGGGGACAGGGAAATCCACACATTCATAAGTCTGACTGTAAAACCGCACCAACCGGGGCGCCTTAGGACAGTTCATGAACCTTTCCTTCATCCATCCTAAAACAATATCAAACCAAATAGTACAATACACCACAACAAAACATATATAAATAGTAATGTATATCAATCACCAAAACAAAATATGTATTACTAAACCAAATACAAATATCTTTCAATTTATTCTGCATCCGGCTAAGAAGTAACTTTCCGTAGAATCCGGCAAATAAAGTTTAATAGCTACAGACCATTTCCTTACTGAACATCAAGGACACTTAATAAGGAACTAATATACATAATAGTATGCCAGTATGCCGTGATGGTCATCCGTGTGTTACGTTCATCTGTAATTTGTTACACTGGCGTGGTTATTCTGCCATTTACCATGAGGTCGTAACGGTACGGGATGACAAAACCACGTAACACAAGGTAGACATTGCTGGTGATATGAAATCTCACTTCTGAAACCTTTCACATACCGTAAGCATATGATATATTATATTATACTTAACTGGTCCAATTACGTAAATATTTTAACGTTAAAATAGAACATATCGCTCTAAAGCGTTAATTTCTTTTTCGCGCGATCATGTCTCCTCGCAAACGAATACATTTTCCTTTAAGGCGATCTTGTTTTCCTCCTTTGCTTGCATTTTTTTTATAATAAAAACACATTGTACACTTTTCATATTGATGCCTTTTCCTTATGTAACAATAATAAATATTAATTTCAGTACATTAAGTATTCATGATTTCATAATACATTATCAATAGCTCGCCTATTCTCCGAAAAGGCGAGCTATTGATATTGTATTATGAAATCATGGGGGGGGGGGGGGGGGGGGTCTAATGTAGTCACCCGGCGTCGGCGTTGGCGTCCCCCCTTCTGGGGTTAAAGTTTTTGGACAATTTTTTTTCCAGACAGTAACCATTTTTCATATTTTAGGGGTCAAAAACAGCTTAATTGGAATTAGTTAAATTTGAGGTTAACATTTTTAGGCAAGTTTTTTTAGACAGTGTTGGATCATCACACTTAATGCACAGTTGTCGATTATAAGGTTGAAGTATTTATATGTTATGTAAGCAATGTGCTGAACCATATTTTCATATTTTATGGGCCAAAAACAGCTTAATTTGACTTGCCATCATTTGCTCAAACAAATGTTGGCATTATAAAGGGGCTTGGCGATAAATTGAGGGAAACGTGTAAGGAATTCTTAAGAAAAACATAATTAAGGGACCTGAAAATATGTTGGCAGTAAGTGAGGTGGTAAAAAAAATGACGGGCATTATATCGAGATTTTACTGGACATTGGTTTCTATTGATATTTGCTATTTTACAACATATATCACTAATAGGCGAGCCATGCTGTTCTCCAACAGCTCTTGTTTTTATAAAGAAATCATGATTTTTGTTTTTTCTTTTCGATCATGATTAATATCCGAGTAAAACTCTTAATATTTCCTTTTCACAAGTGGAGTTGGTATATAATATGTAATGTCCAAAATAAACAAATATACCAAATCGTTCACAACGAAAGGAAAGATATGCCTATACAGAATAAATGGCTTCTTGAAACCCTGACACAAAATTAGCCAGCTAATTGAACACTAACGAATTATGCTCACGTCAAATATGAAAAATATCACCATCACTTACCATGGTATACAAGTCCAACAATGACGTCATGTACGGGAAATGCGTACTGTGATTTTCTCACAAAATAAATAAATAAATAAACAAACAAATCAAAAATCAAAAAGAAATACTAAAAAACTCACTAGCGACGAGATCCACAGATTTGTTGGACGGTCCACAGAAAAGTATTTGTCTTCTCTCTCGTCCGACTCCCTCAGCCATTTTGTTGAGCTGGTGAAAGAGGTATATCAGTTTGATACCTGTAAACGTCTTCCCTGTGCCTGAAATCAAGGAAGAGTCATGTTAAATATATTCAAATGCAATTTTAGAAGATGGCACTCGAATGGAACAGCACTAATTTAAATAGACGACATACCGGGTGGTCCCTGTATTAAGCTGAACGACAACCTGAGGGCTGCATCAATCGCTTCTTGCTGCATCGCATTATTCTTTGGAATATCAACATTTGGCTCATTGATATCCCGCGGTAGACTCTCTACGTCATGTAAATGGTAACGCTCTAAAACAAATTTGATTCAAGATATTTGAAAAGATTAATTTAAATTCATTTTTTAATAATTGTTCCTTGAACAAAGCCGAATAGTGATAAAATCGCCGTTTACGCTTGAAATACGGATACAAGATACAAGATATATAAGCTTTGTTGTAATATTAAAATTAAATAGCCCTCAAATTGGCCAGGGGGAATTTATCCATTCACCATTCGACATATATTATCCTGAACTGAACATTTTAACCGGTCGAAATTTTAGGTGAGATATATTCACCAACAAGAATTTGGGTATGAATTTAATTGAAATGAAAACCAATGCATTAATATACTGTATATACTTTATTTGTCTTGAAAGAGTAAGTGCTGACCTTTGGTACTATCGTAAGAAAAAAACGTGATATCTTCGGCGGGACACATTATTTTCAAGTAATTATTTATGAAAATACTTACCTAATTCTGGAATTTTCCTTCCCAGAGCAATTGCTTTTGCTAACTGTGTCGCATCCCAGAGACTTTTAATAGTTTCTTCTGCACGCCTATTGATAGGAAAAATAAAAGCAAAATCCAATAACATTTCTTGTTATATCACTGACGGTCGATACATTTTGTTGAATAAAAACGGTTAAATGACTTTTCATCAATACTTAAATAAAGAAGAACATGACAAATAGAGCAGATCATGTTGTTGTAAACACTCATGTGATATAAGTTCTTGAAGTGAAACATTATTGGGTCTCCTGCACATCACATTTTCTGACATGTAGGTATGTGTCAGCTTTTACCGTTTATGTAAGAAAGACATCTCTCACTAACTTACCTGTGAACACTGGACTTCATGAGCAGTTCCAAAGTACACAGGTACTTTCCTATAGCGGGTATGTCTGGACAGTTGTGAAGACTGAATCCTATTTCATACCTAGCACGGTTTTTTGCCCCTAGTCGTCTTGTCTTTGTTGTCCTGGCATGGCCTACCCAAACATACGTTTGCTTACTGTCTTTGCTACACTCAGTTCTTGTTGTCCCATCACGTTTACTGATTCTATTGTCATCTTTGCCGTTGCATGACAGACGAATGCAAAGGAAGTCACAGCATACGACCGGATGAAATTGAACATCATGTTCATCATCATCGTCTTCTTCATCATCTTCATCAGCGATATTGTCCTCCTTAGAAATTTTCTTGAAACCCAAATTAATACTCCGTTCTTTACAGAATCTGGCATTCAGAGTGAATGTCCCAGTCAATTTGGTGTTAAATGTCACTGGGACGTTTTTCACAAGAGGAGAATCTTCATCGCGAATGATGTTTGTGACCTCTTCCATTTCCAGTATTGGAGTCCAAATTCTGAGATAGTCTCCCTCATCTTTGTAGTTTTTCTTTGTTGGTGTTGTGGTGTATTTCGAAAGAGAAGGAATGGGATCTGCCACGTGTTGGAGGCAAAACGCAATGGTTTCTGTAACATATACCAGTTGAATTGTGGGTACAAAACAACCATCCATTGACTGACCTCTTATCTGAACTGTTAGCGTTTGTCCGACTTCAAAAATCCTTTGAAAAGAACAAAGATGTTTAAGTATGTATTCATGTTTTTTCACCTCAGAGCATACGTCAGGGGCGTAAAACCTATGGTCGTCTGCATCGCCTCGGATGCTTTCAGGTAGTGGTTTGGTCTGACGAAATGCCATACGCAATTGTTCCGAGTCGGTCGATGTATCCTCAATGGAAGCTCGTAACAAAGAAACCCATTCGGCGTACGACACGAAGACAGAGTTACCATTCGGGTCAATAGTAAAACAGTTTCTCTGGATTTCCTTTCTCGAGTGGAAAGCTATACGACATCTATCGTAGATAGGTTTCTTCCATTTTGCAAACACTTTTCTGATCTTTCCGTCACGTCGCTGTAGTTCCGGCTGGGAGCACAATCCTAGCAGGTTAAATCGTAAATGAAATGGTTCTTCTGTAAGATTGTATCCTAGGATTATGAGCTCAACTGTCGTTTGATCTGGCAATCCTACAACGATAGCGGACACTTTGACTGCGTTCGAATTCTTCAGATGAGCAGCTTGCACGTGCGTTCGGTACTGCTCGTAAAATCTTTCTTCTCTGTGTTTTCCTTTGTTTGATCGATCACATATGTCATCTATTTCAGGTGCAGTGTATGGGGGATACGTTTCATTTTCGATTGACGCAAGGAGTAGCCTTTGAATCACCAGATCTGTATATCTTCTTATAGGAGATGTAGCATGTGTATAAAGGTCTACTCTCAAACCAAAATGGAGTTTATCCGTGCCATTTAGCGATCGAGAATACTTTGCCTTACGTTGGAATACTCTCCACTTCTGTAATGCGACACTTTGCATTGGATGGTGATCATCCGTTCTAAGAAGTCTTTTCAGTCTCCTGTGATCTTTCGCTGCATAAGCATCAAGCAGTTCATTCCAAATTCGTCGGTCAATTGTTATCTTTTCGTTTTTGATACCGTTTTCAAGTCCAATAATATGTGGTTCATCCGTGACCGGCAAGTCACGATCTTGGAGATCCATGATGATATCTGCAATCCCGTTGTGTTCTCCCAACCAAGAACTTGTCTGTTGAGCGTCGGGGTAAGTATGGGTGAGTAGTGGAATGTTGTTGGGATAAACAGCTTCTAAAATCTTTGCAACCGCAACATTTGTCAGAATCATGAATTCCTCAACAAGATAATGAGCTTCGTGAATGGCAATATCCTTGTCTTCCTCTAATCCAAGTAAAGCATTTCCAGGAAAGGCAAAATGGGCTTTTTTCAGCCGATTATTTCTTAGCTTTGTTGCTAGGTCAAACATTATTTTTAACTTTGTTGACAAACCCGGAACATCTATTTCTTCGTCTCCTAACAACACGTTCTGTACTTCTTCATAACAAAGGTTCGTTCTTGGCTTTATCACACGTCTTTCTATATTCTGTGGTTCAGGGTATTTCAGAACTTCTCCATCTTTGTTAATTTCAAAATACAGAGAGAATACATGTCGAGCTGTACCTTGTATCAGACTCAACTTATCAGTACTCAAAGGCTCCGGCAGCATATGGCAAGGATTCGCTCCCATACCAGCGTAGTTTGTCCGACATCTTTCCATTGCCTCCCGATCAACTGGGTCATCTTTTTGCACAAGTCTACAAACGTCTGCTAAATGCACACCAACTCTGTATGCAGTTACGGTTTCTGTATCTGCAGCATTTGGTATATCTTCAATACTAAAACCATCGTCCCTTACTCTCGTATTCTTACTATCGATGGTAAACACTAATGTGTCGTCAACATCAGAAGATTCTTGCTTTCTGCTCTCTTCTTCGATTACATCTTTTACTGCCAGGATAGTTTCCCGTGTATAGCGTAAAGGAATCCGGTGCTGAAACTCTGTGATGCGTAAATTATCGGAACTATTAACCTCGACAACTCCGATGACTGCGCCAAGAGGGTATTGATAGACGACATCCCATCTAAGAAAGGCGACGAGAAAAATCAGACTTTCGATTTTTTCAGGTTTGATTTTGAAAAATTTGTCGAACATTAAGTAGCCTTCGAGCTCGTTATATCTGTATGTTTCTATCAAATACTTTTCTTCTTGTTTCCTTTCTTTAATAACACGCCTGTTTGAGATATTTATCTTTGGAACTGTTTTGCACAACGGAAACATTATCCTCCTATCCATATCAGCTGCATTGCAAACAAATACAGGATGTTCGATGTCTTTATATCTTGTCCTTTCTACAACCGCTATAACCCTCCCCTCAACTCGGTTTGGCCAACCGGATTGTGAGTTCCCATAACGGTTTTGTATAATTTCGACAACTACAATATCCTCATTGAAGGCCTGGCCACATTTCGATCTCCCAGAAATATAAATCTTCTCCGCAGGATAGTGATCTTCGTCTAGTGGGGTGCACACAGCCTCCTGAACACTAACAATATCGAGTGTACATCTTTTATATCTCTCTGGCTCCGAGTTACATCGTTCAATCATGTTTGGATCAGCTGTTTTTTCACTGGACGAAAATGAGTAAATTATCTTATGTTCGTCTATACCATTTAGAGGTGTTGAAAACTTCTCGTCAAGATCCAGTCCATATTCAAGGCACCGTTGGTCTAGAATGTCGATATTAGTGTCACCACAGTATTCTTCCAAATCTGATTTGTGAAACCAGTCGTCACGGTTGTGTGACTCAGAAGCCATAGTTTATGTTTGCAGTCAACTATCCTTGTGTCATTGTTTTAGACCAAGCAATAAGCGGCAGACCAGGAATCAACATCCCAGATGATAATAACGTTTGACTGCTGTTTGCTCACATGGCTAATCTCCTTGAAACTCAGAGGGACTCCGAGTGATATCTATGCACAGGTGGCTTTTTATCTGAAAGATAAAATCTGCCAACTGAGATTTATCTATGCGTATATATACTGTTAACTGCAATAAATATACAGGATTATATTGGGTTCAATATTAACAGCTTTCTGTCACATTCGTATGAAAGATCATAATTAAAAGTGTCATATCAACTATCAAGGACTCTCGTATCATTGATAATAACTGAAATTTTTGCTGTCGTCACTCTTCAAGTACCAGTACACACCCTTTTAAAATCTTCAACCAGAACTGCACAGGAACGTCATATATTTTGGAGAAAAAATAGGAAATTGTACAACAAATTTTTGAAGGGAGGGTTGTCCTAATTCCCTGTGTTATGAAAGGAATTATGTTAACGGAAAAGAACAACAAGAGACTACAGGTGTCAACAAAAAAGTTCATCAAAACTTAAAACCGATAGAAATATTGAGATGAAAGCCCTAAAACAAGGAAATAATCAAGGTGTTCGTAAGGTTAAGCGTCTTCTGATTCATCGACGACATCCGCCTTGTAAATCTATGTCAAATCCACAAAATGTCACATCACCATAGCGAGAACTAGAGTAGTGCCAACGAAACGACAAAACACACTAATGTGCATAATAAAAGAAATGTACCATCATATCGCCCATAGAAATAGTATATTTCCAAATGAGATCATGATGGGGACCACAAAACGTGTCCGTCGACAGTCGACATCGAGCAGGGAAATCACGACAGTCGGAGCAGGCTCATTAATACCGACTCAACCACGACAGGTAAACACCTAAGGTTTGGAAAGCAGGGATATAACTATCAAGAAAAGGAAACATCACGTTCGAAAAGTCGATTTCGTCCCACTTACCGTACAGTTTAATAGTAAGCCGTTCCTGTTAGTCATGGTGTGAATAATGATCGAGAGGAAATATACTACACTGTATAACCATACAAACAAGTATAAACTTAATATAACAACTGAGTCTTATGTGAACTATACCCTGCATAAAGAACACAGATCCTAAAGGTCTAGTGTTAGTTCTTAAACTTCGCCATTAGCCAACGAGACAGGCCTTACAATAAATAAATAAAATCCTGATGCTAAAAATATAGTGTTAGTGTAAAACTAAAATGTAGTTGAAGACTGTTATTATTTTTATATTCTTAACGGTCCATCAACACAAGAAGAGGTGATTTGGGCCTAGAAAAGGTAGATAAAACATGTTTAAAAGCTGAATACAAACCACACGTTTTACTTAAATGCTCATGATGTGAGGACGTTTTTCAAAATGTGAATGATATCAATCGTTATAAGTTTGCGGAAATTTTGCATGGGAACACTAAATATCCAAATGGAGGATTCCTTTTTTCGTCTATTTACTGATATTTAAGTTCCTAAAGACTGGATATCTGTTGTGAAAAGTATCCAAATTAGATAAAATTGTTTGGAGATCATTATTATCCTCAACACAACATTTCTAATCAATTTCTTTAGGTTGTGTAAGTACTGACTGTAGAACGGTTCATGTAGTACAACCAGTGTAGTTCGACACGTACTCCGTCACCTTTATCAGAAAATCTGATGACAGCACTAGTCATCAAAAGGTCTCACAAAGGCTATACTGGTCGTGCTTCATGAACCTTTTTACAATCTTATCACAATACAGACTGCTTGAAACATATCCTAGTATCTTCAATATACCTGAGAATTTCTCAATGGTTAGTAATGACCGGATCTCAACGCATGATTAAAGATACATGAAAAGAGTAAGATATAGATAAAAAAATAATACTGCATACTATGGGCAATAAATCAGTTGCTACCACAGTCCACTGCACACATAATCCCCTTTCATAGCCAATCATGATTACATGACCATAAAAGTGGTGTGCCCAGTGGACTGTGGTCACAAATGCTGTAAGAAAGGGGAGATAATCAATAAGTAAGTAACGATGAAGTCAATACAATGGAAAGGATAAAATTAATTGACACATTTAAAATAAGAAAAAAAAGAAGTTCAAATTGGTAATTTCATGCTGAAAAACAAACTAACAAAATTACTGAGTTGGTAGCGTTATTGATTTCCTTATCACGTGAGAGGATAAGCATTTCCTGGAACAGTTGATAATCTTTAGGAGCTGTTTCTTTATACAAAATTGCACATTCAAATATACCATTCATTGAAAGAAATGGAATTCCTTAGGGATTGATAAACCCTTACATTGTATGTATGAAAATGATTTCAATATCCTGTACCTTTGCCACATCTTGAAAATTAAACTGAAAGTGTAGTCAGAAATTCAACATTGTTTCCCGTATTTTGTTCTTATTGTTGAACAGACACTCCTTACCTTCCCTGACACTAGTACTGGAGCTGGATAGTAATCCAAAAACACTTGTATCCATTATGAAGGATAAAGACAAACTTACCTGGTTCTGATTAGTACTCACTCACAAAGGTACATATACATTATCTGTAGTGTAGGGTAGGTAAAAAGATTGTCCAGGTGAACATTTTTTACTAATTTTTTCTGTTTTGTTCAAGTTGGGAAGCATGCAGTAAGCCAGTTATTGCATGATTTCTCGTCACTCGGAAACCATACAATAACCTTTACTTACAATGGGTGTTCTCTAAGTGCCAACATATTTACCAACAATAGGCAGGTGTTGTTTTATGAAACAATACCAATTCAGTTATATACTGTTTCATATAAAGGCTGTATTTTCACCTAAATATTCACCTGGGATTTACAGTGAAATATTCCTTCATCTGTGATAAATATACAGTCCCTGGCCTTTCCTTTATTATCTGAATTTGCCTTTAAAGTAAGGATTAAAAGTATTAAACTCTTAATATTCCTTTTAAAAAACTAAGAAAAAACCATGTCATGAGGGAACATACATGTATGAAGGAGGGCTGAAATGAACGAATTGTTTTTGGAAAGTTAAAAATATACTTGAAATTAAAGAAAACATCTCAAATGAAAGGAAACTATAATAAAAGAAAAATTCTTTTAAATAAAAGACAGGGAAAAGCTATTGGTTTTTGAGCTATTGAGATTCTGATCTCATTCAAGATGGATATGGCTGAAGAGGCATCTGCACAGATTGAACCATATGAGAGTTAAAAAGATAAGCCCACTGTCCAAATACATACATTTATAAATTCTTTTTATTCCAGTAATTGTTGCGATGTCTGTATTACTGTGTTCAAATTTAAACTTTAGTTTTTTATTTGATATAATTTATACGTTAAAGCCGTAAGTATGTCACTAGTGTTCGATTTTGACTAGCTTGGATGATAATTTTTACATGTTGTTCGCATAACGACTGGACTGCCAGATATATATACATGTTTCACTATAATCTGCATACTGTGGCGTTTTTACGTTTTTTTATCTTGATCTGACGTGAAGTAATATTATCAATATATTGCAAATGATGGGGCAGCTACAGCTCTCCTATGGGTATCATTCTCATATCAACAATTTTTAGGAAATTCTTTATATTAAAATTATCTTATATACAGTAAAGCATTACGAAATTTAAGGAAAATGTCTTGAACTTGATATCCCTTTAACTCAAATAATGCTTTAATACAGAAAGAAACATCAGACATTTCCTTATGATAAGGAAACGTTTATGAAACTGATGCATGAATACTTGTTGAGGGCATTGTCAATTCTCACCTAAAAGAAGTGGGGATTTTTTTAAATTGTAAAAATCCATGCATACATATTTCCGGTTAGTCCAAATGTTTTCAAACTCCTGAAAATATTTATTTTTTTCATTTGAAATTTTTTTTTCGATTTCATTTTTCTGATACTTCATAATAATAAAACATTTTTTAAACCATATTGATTCTTTAAAAAGGTGTAATTTTATCACTGATACACCTTTAAGGTACTAATAAATACTTACAGATTTGGTTTCTTCAGTAAATGACTAAGATATATACTTGTTAAATTTGAATTAATTGTGCTTTACAATAAAGTTATTTATCTGTTATTGAAAGATCAGTTCAATTAATATTTTTCTCAAATACTATATGGATCAGCTTGTAAATATTATCAAAAATATGAAACTTAAGAAAATTAAAAAGTCAAAAATATATGTATGTATATTTATGTTAACATATGTGCTTGAGTTCCAACAGGGAAGTTTTACAGGTAGATTACTAGTTGAAACTCGGACACATTTTAAGAAAAAGACTAACCCCCTATCAAAACAAGTTGCCCTACAGGTTAATTAAAAATGTTGGCACTCAGAGATACACCCATTACAATATAAACTGAAAACAAATAACAATAATTGTTAAATAAAAAATTATAATAAAAAAAATTGTAAAAAGCCATCAAGGCAATTTATAGAGATTAACAATGTTGTTGTGAAAAGCAGATATTTGTGAGCAATTACTTGTTGGTGAATTAGTTTCTAATTTGTCTTGAATAAATGTAATGAAATGGATTAATCACTTTTATAGAATGAATAATTTTTAATATTTCACTGGTAAAATGTGATAAACTGCATTATGTAGAAGTACTCCCACATTGGTAACTGCTGACATAACATCAGATCAAACTCAACAACTTAACAAAGCCTTACAGACACGTGTCAACTCAACAACTAACCACTAGCTTATGGACACGTGTCAACACAACAACTTAACAATGCCTTACAGACACGTGTCAACTCAACAACTAACTACTAGCTTATGGACACTTGTCAACACAACAACTTAACAATGCCTTACAGACACGTGTCAACTCAACAACTAACTACTAGCTTATGGACGCGTGTCAACACAACAACTTAACAATGCCTTACAAACACGTGTCAACTCAACAACTAACCACTGCCTTACAAACACATGTCAACACAACAACTTACTGCTACCTTATAGACACGTATCCATACAACAACTTATTACTATTATAAACACGATTCAAATCAACAACTTTGATTACTGTTTTACAAACACGTGTCAACGTAACAAATAACTACTGGCTAATAGACACATGTCTAATCAACAACTGATTACTGCCTTACAAACACGTGTCAACACAACAACTAACTACTGCCTAATAGACACGTGTCAACACAACAACTAACTACTGCCTTATAGACACGTGTCGTCACAACAACATACTACTGCCTTTTAGACACGTGTCGTCATAACAACTTACTTCTGTCTTTTAGACACGTGTCCTCACAACAACTTACACCGGCCCTATAGACAGGTATCAGCTCAAAAACTTACTACTGCCTTACAGACACGTGACAACTCAACAACTAACTACTGCCTAATAGACACGTATCAACACAACAACTTACTACTGCCTTATAGACACGTGTCGTCACAACAACATACTACTGCCTTTTAGACACGTGTCCTCACAACAACTTACACCGGCCCTATAGACAGGTATCAGCTCAAAAACTTACTACTGCCTTACAGACACGTGACAACTCAACTACTTACTGCTACCTTATAGACACGTGTCAACCCAACAACATACTACTGCCTTATAGTCACGTGCCATCACAACACCATACTACTGCCTTTTAGACACGTGTCAACTCAACAACTTACTTCTGCCTTATAGACACGTGTCCTCACAACAACTTACTCCGGCCCTATAGACACGTATCAGCTCAATAACTTACTACTGCCCTATATACACGTGTCAACACAACAACTTACTACTGCCCTATAGACACGTGTCAACACAACAACTTACTGCTACCTTATAGACACGTGTCAACACAACATCTTACTACTGCCTTATAGACACGTGTCAACCCAACAACATAAAACTGCTTTATAGACATGTATCAGTTCAACAATGTACTACTGCCTTATAGACATTATTAACTTAACATCTTACAAATGACTTATTTATGAAGAAATGTGTCATCTGAACAACTTATTACAGATTTATAGAAACGTGTCTACTCAACAGCTTAGTACTGACATTACATCAGATAAAACTGGTTATAGAGATGTGTCATTTCAACCATGAATTACTGGCTGATAGACTACTGTCAACTTAACAAATTACTACTGACTTATAAACACGTGTCAACTCAACAAACCAACCCTGTCAGTACATCAGATAAAACTGGCTATAGAGATGTATCATTTCAACCATGAATTACTGGCTGATAGACTACTGTCAACTTAACAACTTACTACTGACTTATAAACACGTGTCAACTCAACAAACCAATGCTGTCAGTACATCAGATCAAACTTGCTTTAGACAACCTACAGCCTTAAAGACACGTGTCAACTCAACAAACTGTTACTGACATTACCAAAGATAAAACTTGTTATAGACATATGTCATGTAAACAATATATTACAGGTTTGTAGACACGTGTCAACTCATTAAACCGCTACCGACATTACCAAAGATAAAACTTACTATAGACATATGTCATGTAAACAATATATTACAGCCTTAAAGACACGTGTCAGCTCAACAAACTATTACTGACATTACCAAAGATAAAACTTGCTATAGACATATGTCATGTAAACAATATATTACAGGTTTGTAGACACGTGTCAATTAATCAAACCATTACTGACATTACAAATGAAAAAACTTGCTATAGACATATGTCAGGTAAACAATATATTACAGGTTTGTAGACACGTGTCAATTAATCAAACCCTTACTGACATTACAAATGAAAAAACTTGCTATAGACATATGTCAGGTAAAGAATATATTACAGGTTTGTAGACACGTGTCAATTAATCAAACTATTACTGACATTACCAAAGATAAAACTTGCTATAGACATATGTCATGCAAACAATATATTACAGGTTTGTAGACACGTGTCAACTCATTAAACCGCTACCGACATTACCAAAGATAAAACTTACTATAGACATATGTCATGTAAACAATATATTACAGGTTTGTAGCCACGTGTCAATTAATCAAACCATTACTGACATTACCGAAGATAAAACTTGCTACAGACATATGTCATATAAACAATATATTACAGGTTTGAAGACACGTGTCAACTCAACAAACCATTCCTGACATTACCAAAGATAAAACTTGCTACAGACATATGTCATGTAAACAATTAATATATCACAGGTTTGTAGACACGTGTCAATTAATCAAACCATTACTGACATTACCGAAGATAAAACTTGCTACAGACATATGTCATATAAACAATATATTACAGGTTTGAAGACACGTGTCAACTCAACAAATCATTCCTGACATTACCAAAGATAAAAATTTGTCATATAAACAATACATTACAGGTTTGTAGACACGTGTCAATTAATCAAACTACTACCGACATTATATGAAATTAACAGGATTTTAGACACGTGTCAGTTCAACCATATATAACAGGATTATAGACACGTGTCAACTCAACAAATCACTACAGAAATTACATGAAATTAACAGGATTATAGACACGTGTCAACTTAACAAACCACTACTAACTTAACAACAGATAAACATTTCTATAGACATATATCATGTTATCCATATACTACAAGCTTGTAGACACGTGTCAACTCAACAAACTATTACTGACAATACATGAAATAAACTGCCTTATAGACACGTGCCATAACAGCAAATTACTAAAGGAATATAGACACGTATCAACTTAACAAATTACTACTGACTTATAAACACGTGTCACTTCAAGAAACCATCACTGACATTAAATGAGATAAAAATGGCGTATAGACACGTGTCTTATCAACCATATATTACAGGCTTCATCAACTCACTACTGCCTTATAGACACTGATAAATTCAACAATTTCATACTGGCGTCAAGACATGTGTCAACTCAACAAACCACTGCTGACATTACATAGGTCGTATCAACTAACAGTTGATAAACTGTTTAATTCACTCTCGTGAAGACGTTATTTATCGTCCATATATATAAATATATATATGTAGACATATAAAACCAACAGGGCATATAGAGTTGTTATCGCTTGAAGGGGACGCAATTCTTGAAATTGCATTGTATTAACGACGATCAGCTCTTTCTGCCTGGCTTGTTTGTGTATGTGTATTGTTTGATAAAACTGTCATATTGTCGGGAAGCCCACACGAACATGGTGAAGCTGGTTTTACGCTGGTAGCACACCAGCACAGGCGCGTAGCCTATACGCTGGTACACATTTTCAAATAGAAAAAAAACCCGCTGCTAGTGTGTTGTACCCCATTTGTCCCCCTATCGAGGCACTGCCACCGACCTGCTCTAAATGAAGCCCTTCCAAACAAGGGCTGGCTACGCCCCGCAAGCATATTGGTTAAATAGCAATATTTGTGATATGTGTAGTTAGCTGATTATAGTAATGTAACATACTGGCCTGCATGCGTTAATCGTTGCCATTTCTTCATCCGGGTACTATGTAATCGTTGTTCCCCTGTTTTTCCTGTGAAAAAAACGTTGACGCAGGTATAAAAAGGCCACTTAATATTTGAGTGTTGAAACAGTGTGGTTGTAGAAATCTACGGTAGAACAGTTTAAAGCAATTTCCGTAGTTTGTGTAGTGCATGTCTAGACGTTGATTAGTGACGTATAGTTTCCGGCCTGTTCAGGACTAGCTATAGTGTCACATGTCGGCGATAACGTACATGAACGTAACGCCTCGATGCACTACTGTTAAACGCAAATGGTCACAACTAATTCGTTTGATAAATGCATTGTAACATGTAATTCAATATGGGTTTAACGACCGAGAACATACAGCAGACGATCCATAAACAAAGCACGACGTATTGATTTATTCACAGTAATGAATTCAAATTGCATTCATCGCTACATAATCGTATCATAAACAAGCAGTGTTGTATGTTAAGAGTGTCATGTGATCAACTACCGGCCCTACGAGGACTGTTTTAAAACCAACTGTGCATCGGGTTATTTTGAATGAAATGTTCTAAATTAATTATACCAAGGATTAGCGACCGACAGCTGTTCGACAGCAACAGTGGCATTGTGAAACGTAAATTGTGACCTTGTGACCTTCAGTAATAAATAGATTTATAACAATTATTCATTGAGGCCTTTACTGAACTCGTTCCCGTTTTGTTATGAACCAGTTCATATTTGTTTTAACAAGATGAAAGTTATCAGCTTTTAGATAGGGAAGTGCCTACTTTTCTCCATGCAGTAGTGAACACCTACAATTAAGTAGCTGGAAAAACCCAGGGTTCTGGCGCGCTTTTCCCCGTTTGATTAGCTGGAAAAACCAGGGTTCTGGCGCGCTTTTCCCCGTTTGATTAGCTGGAAAAAACAGGGTTCTGGCGCGCTTTCCCGATTTGATTAGCTGGAAAAACCAGGGTTCTGGCGCGCTTTCCCCATTTGATAAGCATGTGGGAATGTTACCTTCCCTGATGTGAGTGTACTATATGGCGTCACAGAAATGTTATTTTATTGGGTTTTTTCTCGAACATTCTAAGACGTTCTTGAAAGCGAAATAAAAACGATAAGACGAGTATACAAACAAGCATTTATGTTCTCTGTCGCCATTATTCTCTGAAGAGTGAAAGTGCCTAAAAGCAATGGGTCCCGCAATATTTCAGTTATACGGGATTCCGACATGTTTAGGTGTCCCGGTGCACGAGTAAGACATTCATGTTTACAAGCCGCGGATACTCCATTGTTGTAAACTTCATACTCCATTCAGATCCAGTATAAGTATGTTTATAAAAATATACAAATATAGTATAACTATACCTTAATTCCGTCGTATATTCCTGTGTCACACAAAATCGTATCCAACCACTGCATACACACCGCGCCTTTTAAACATTAAACAGCGTTCTATGGTCGTATTACTGTTACGGTATTACAATGTACTCTGTTGTATGTGAGTCGTTACAACCACAGGTGTATTGTATAACTCTGATGTATGTGAATCGTTACAACCACAAGTGTACTGTATTAGACTGATGTATGTGAATCGTTACAACCAAAAGTGTACTGTATTACTCTGTTGTATGTGAATCGTTACAACCAAAAGTGTACTGTATTACTCTGATGTATGTGAATCGTTACAACCACAAGTGTACTGTTTTACTCTGATGTATGTGAATCGTTACAACCACAAGCGTACTGTTTTACTCTGTTGTATGTGAATCGTTACAACCACAAGTGTACTGTATTAGTCTGATGTATGTGAATCGTTACAACCAAAAGTGTACTGTATTA